TTTTTTGGTTTTGGAGTTTTGCTCTCCAAAAAAAAAAGGAAGAAATTAAAGAAAAAGATTAAAACAAGTTGCAAATGGCTCTGCCAACTCCCAGCCACCATCCACCTCGCTGGGAACCGCTCTGGCCTGACCCCCAGCACGTGTTTTTGGAAGAACCGGGATGATGCTCTGCCCCAGCCGTGCCTTCCTCCACGGAACATCATTATTGCTTAATTCTCCCTTCCCATACTGGCCTTTAGGGTTATTTACATTTCTTTGGCTTGACTTGAACTCAACAGTCTGGCACTTTCTCTCCAGCTGCCAACGTGGCGGAGCCGCCGCCGGACGGGGAGGGCAAGGAGGGGAAGAGGCCACAACGAGAAAACACGGGTGGGCTTCTGCTGGTCAGGCGAGTTGTGCTTCTCCCAGTCGAAATAAGACAACTTGTGTTTGGCACAAACTCATCCGGAGTCGATCCGCCGTGCCCGGGGATCCCCATCGGGACAATCCTCCCGGTGCCGCGGTTCCCACGGGAACGGGGAGCAGAGCGGGGTGGGGGGAAGGCGCTGTGGACACCCCCCCTGTGCAGGGCAGGGAGCCCCATCCTCCCTCACCCCCGAGGGCGGGCAGCCGGTCCTGCCCCCTCCCTCCGAGGCGCTCAGACGACGAACTCGGGGACTTCGTCGTGGGTGAGGTCCAAGGAGAAGTATTTGCTGGTTCTTTTGACGGGGAAGGTCTCCTGGATGTTGATGCACTGCTGGGCCAGGCAGCCGTTGCAGTAGAGCCCGTCCTCGTCCAGCCCGTGGGCGCAGCCGAAGGTGTAGCTCTGCGCCGTGTCCTGGCACAGGTTGGCCAGCTGGAGGAAGTCCTTCTGGTAGAGCCGGATGTCGTCCAGGCTCAGGCTGTGCCGGTCCGTCGACGTCTTCGATTTCCTGCACGACGTCTGGGAAAAAAAGCAAAGAGGCTTCAGGACCCTGCGGGAAGCCAAGGGAATCCCGAAAAACCCCAATGGCAGCCCCGGCAAACCACCCCCCCAGGGCCACGCACCTGGGGCAGGGAGTCGGTGCTCTGCCCCCGCAGCTTCACCACCGTCTCCGAGGAGCTGGAGGTGGAGGAGCTGATCTCCTTCACGATAAGCCCTGCGTGGAGAAGGGAGGAAGAGGAGGGTGCAAAGGTTAATTTTGAGGTGTCTCAGCTCTCTTGGGATCCAACCCTGCTGCCCCTGGGGCTTGTCCCTGCTTTGGGGCACAAGGCACCCTCTGCTCAATGGGGTGCCACTACATACAAAGTATCCCAAATTTTCCCCCAGAACTGCATCCAAAGCCATCCCCAGTGAGCCTGGTACCTCAGAAACCTCCCAGCATGGAGCTGGAAATGTGGGTGACTCCCTGGGTGCAGGCACAGCTCCAGAGAAGACCATCGAGTCCAACCATTCCTCCAGCACTGCCAAGGCCACCGCTAAGCCATGTCCCCAAGTGCCACATCCACATGCCTTTTAAATCCCTGAAGGGATAGGAACTCTACCACTTCCCTGGGCAGCTGTGCCGGGGCTGGACCACCCTTTCCATGTAGAAATTTTCCCTAATATCAGTCTAAACACCCCCTGGCACAACTTGAGGCAGTTTCCTCTTTTTTTTACCCCATCTCTCCTTCAACCCACTTGGGCAAACAGCTTTTCCCGGTGTCCCAAATGGACACTTTGGGCTAACGCCGCTCTGCTGAACACCAAAGAATCACAGAATGACCTGGGTTGGAAGGGACCTTAAAGACCCTCTCGTTCCAAGCCCCAAAGGTATGACTTGGGCTGGGGAATTGGAAGTGAAAGCAGCCACCGCCTTACCCGAGTGCCCGTTGAACTTGCGGGACAGCAGCATGTCCTCCGTGATGTAGACGCACATGTCGGGGCTCACCTCCATGTCTCCAGCCTGCTCCAGCTCCCGGGGGTCATCCACCAGCATCTCGATTTCTGCCAGAGAAAAAAAATGTGGGATGAGCTGCTGACGTGACTCCTCCAACCCCGATCACCCGCTGGGACACTGGAAAGCCCAAACCGGTGTCTCACCATCATCCTGGGAGTCCTCCTCCAGCCGGTCCTTCCCGCCGCTCTCCACGCCGGAGGTGTGGGAGCTGCCATGGCTGGTCATGGAGCTGCAGGTCTTCAGCTTGCGGTGGGCGCCGGCGCCGGAGAAGCCGTCGTCGGGCCCCATCTCCCTGGGTTTGGGGTCGGCCTCGATGCCGGAGGTGTGGGAGCTGCTGTGGCTGGCGGTGGAATGCCGGGAGAGCCGCTTGTGCCGGATGCTGCCGGCGCTGCTGCCGCTGGCGCGCGAGCGCTTCTCCAGCTGCTCCATGTCCAGGTCCAGGGTGTCGCTGATGTAGGATTCCCGGTACTGCTTCTTCTCTGCAGGGTGGAACAACGTCAGCAGCCTGCATCCTGATCCCTCAGGGCACCCTGGATTCCCTGGAAGGGCACGGACCACCCCGGCACACAGGGGCACCCCGGGGAACTGCCACCCGAGCCCAGCATGGGGACACACCTGGAGCCAGCCTTGCCCTGGTGGCATTTAGGGATGGTGGGATGGGGGGCCTCAAACTTGCTGTGCTCTGTGCTGGGCTGCCCCTCAAAGGGGGAGGAGGAGGAGGAAGAATAAGAGTTGAGGAGGAGGAGGAAGAAGAGGAGAAGGAGAAAGAAAATTAGGAGATGCGGGAAGAGGAGGAAAAAAAGAGAGGAGGAAGATGAAGATGAGGAGAAGGAAGAAGATAAGGAGGACAAGGAGGAAGAAGAAGCTGAGGAGTAGGTGGAGAAGAAAGCAGATGAGGAGGATGAGGAGGAAGAATAAGATGAGAAGGAGGAAGAGGAAGAGGGGAAAGAGGAAGATGAGGAAGACAAAGGAAGATGAGAAGGGGAAAGAGAAGAAAGAGTAAGAAGAGAAGGAGGAAGAGGAAGAGGAAGAGGAAGAGGAAGAGGAAGAGGAAGAGGAAGAGGAAGAGGAAGAGGAAGAGGAGAAAAATGAAAGGAGAATGAAGATGAGGATGAGGAATAAGATGAGGAGGAAAAAGATGTAGAGGATGAAGAGGAGAAGAAAGAAGAGTAGGACAAGGAGAACGAATAAGAAAAGGAGAAGGGAGGGGAAAAGGAAGATGAGGAAGAGAAAGAGGAAGATGAGGAGGGGGAAAGAGGAAGAAGAAGATCTGATGCTTTCACAAGGGCTTTCTGAGCTTGGAGATGGGATGAGGGGTACTGGGAAATACTGCTTGGGGGCACTGGGAGGAACTGGGCCATCAGGGATGGCAGCAGGATCTTGGATCTTGTATCCCTAAGTATCCCTTAGCAGCACTTGTATCCCTCAGTATCTAGTGGGAACGTGGGCACCCAGCCTGGCCAGGAGATTATCCTGCTGGGCAGGGATGGGGTGCAGGATGCACAGTCCGGGAGGACATGGGGACAGCCACCCCTGACACGCTCCCAGCCACGGGGCTGGCACACCAGGCACTCCTAGGGGCAGGAATGCCGGGCGGGAGCCTGTCACCGGTGGGATTTGGGAGCCTGCCACTGGGGGGACCTACCCTCGTTCTCCTCCAGGCGCCGGACCTGGCGCAGGACGGGCTGCAGGTTCATGTAGAGCCGGTGGCTGCTGCTCAGCAGCTGCAGCAGGTGCCGGGAGCGCAGCGGGCACCCCGTGTAGTAAATGAGCTTCCTGGCAGAGGGCAGCCCGTCAGGCAGGATCTCAAACTTCTTGCCCTGTGTGGGAGAAGGGAGAGATCAGCCCCAAAGAGGAAAATGCTCCATTGCTCCCCCCATCCTGCTGCAGCCCATGGTTAACCTATGGGTTGTAATCACCCGCTTGAGGTCTGGGTGACTGCGCCCCACTCCCAAATCAGAGCCCAGGAGATGCTCTGCCTGGGGAATCATGGAATCACAGAGTGGCTTGGAGTTGGAAAGGACCTTCAGGACCATCTCACTTCACCCCCCTGCCATAGGCAGGGACACCTTCCACTATCCCAGGTTGCTCCAAGACCCGTCCAACCCAACCTGGAACACTTCCAGGGATCCAGGGGCAGCCACACCTTCTCTCAGCAACCTGTGCCAGGGCCTCACCACCCTCACAGCCAGAAATTCCTTCCCAAAATCCCATCTAACCCTGCCCTCTGGCAGTGGGAAGCCATTCCCCCTTGTCCTGTCCCTCCAGGCCCTTGTCCCAAGTCCCTCTCCAGCTCTGTCGGAGCCCCTTTAGGCCCTGGAAGGGTCTCTCAGCTCTCCCTGGAGCCTTCTCTTCTCCAGGTGAACCCCCTCAGCTCTCCCAGCCTGGCTCCAGAGCAGAGGTGCTCCAGCCCTTGGATCATCTCTCTGACCTCCCCTGGACCTGCCCCAACAGGTTCACATCCTTCCTGTGCTGAGGACCCCAGAGCTGGAAGCTCTGCTCCAGGTGGCACTCACCACAAAAACCAGTTTTCCCACGTTTGTCCACGGGAAGTCATAGAGCAGCTGCTTTTCTTCATCCAAGTTCTGCAAAAAGAAGAAAGGGAGCCCTGGCTGAGGATGCTGGTAGAGGCAGGGAGCCAAGCCGAGCCATCACCCTCCCTCAGCCACCTACCTGGAAGATCTGGATGCCCCGTGTTGTCAGCCCCAGGGTCAGGGAGGCCTCCACTTCCCTTTTGTCCTAAGGGGGAAAAAAATTATGTGGTTTTAAATACCAAATTTGCAGCATGAAGTGGAGAAATCAGCCCCAGCTCAGCCCAGAGATCCTCCATTAGTCACCCCAGTCACCATTCTATGATTAATGTGCCAAATTAATAATATAATAATACTGTGAGGGTAGGGAAGACCTGGCCCAGGTTGTCCAAAGAAGCTGTGGCTACCCCTGGATCCCTGGAAGTGTTCCAGGCCAGGCTGGATGGGGCTTGGAGCAACAAGGTGACCCTGCCCCTTGCAGGGGGTGGAACGAGATGACCTCTAAAGTCCCTTCCAACCCAAACCAGTCCAGGATTCTATCACAGCATCTTGTGCTCTCCCAAAAGCTTCTCCTTTTTAACTTCAAGATGCTACAAAAAGGCCTGTGAAGCACCATCTCCCAGCAAACAAACTGCTTTGTTCCCAGGAGAAAGACCCAGCATATGACTCTTGGGGATGGTCCTGTGCAAGACTAAGGGCTGCACTCAGTGATCCCTGTGGGTCCCTTCCAGCTCAGCATATCCTGTGATTCTGCAACATATTTCTTGGGGAGGGGATTGCCAAAAATGAGATCCCAGAAACCTCAAAACCTCCTGGGTGGGGCTCACCTTGTACAACCTGTAGTAGTGCACGGGCACGTCGTCGAGCCGGACGGCCTCCTTGATGTACTTGAGATGGGCTTCAGAGGCTGTCAGGGCAAACTGGTCTTTGTGCATGTTGGGGACGTGCTTCAGGATGTAGTCCTTGCCCCTCTTTGCAACCACCTGTTTGGAGGAGAGGAGAAGTTTGTCCAGCTGCTCTGGGCTCGCTCAGGGCCCGATTCCACCCCGGCGCTCCTGGGCTGCGGTGATTTCAAGGGAAAAGGGGAAATGGGAGCAATATGATTTGTAATAGAGACCTGCAGGAAAAAATACAATAGATACAGCAGCCAACAGCTTCTCACCAGCAGGATTTCCCACTGGGAAGTGCATGTGTGCTCCCTGTGCCCAGCCCATGGAGTTCACACCACTGGTGACACCTGTGCCAGGCCAGGAGAGCCATGCTCAGATTCCCTGTGTGAATGGGGACATGGACCCAGGGCCATCACTCCTCAGTGACATGTGTGCGAAAAAGAGAAGCCAGCAAATTTTGGAAAAAAAAGAACAAGAAAGAGGTTGGAAAGGAGAATAAAAGGTTCCAGAGAGGCCTTTGAGCACCTAAAGGGGCTCCGACAGAGCTGGAGAGGGACTTGGGACAAGGGATGGAGGGATGGGACAAGGGAGAATGGCCTCCCACTGCCAGAGGGCAGGTTTAGATGGGATATTGGGAAGGAATTCTTGGCTGTGAAGGAGGTGAGGCCCTGGCACAGGTTACCCAGAGAAGCTGTGGCTGCCCCTGAATCCCTGGAAGTGTTCCAGGTCAGGTTGGATGGGGTAGTGGAAGGCGTCCCTGCCTATGGCAAGGGGTGGAATGAGACGGTCTTGAAGGTCCTTTCCAACCCAAACCATTCTGGGATTCTGTGGTTCTGTGACACCAGTTCCCAAAGGACTGCAAAGCCGGAGGGGCTACACCTTATGGTGGTGGGGAGATGCCGTGCTGGCACACGGCACACAGGGAATCCCTGCCACACAGGGAATGCCCCATGAGCATCCCAGCAGCACACAGGGAAATCCCTCCCAGCACAGGATCTGCTCCAGCCCCACACCAGCCCCGGCCCCCCCTTCCCACAGCTATTTCCAGCCCCACAGTTGTCCCAAGTTATTAATAACCAGGATTAAGCCAGAGACAGGGATGCAGCCGGAACGGCGGCCGCCTGGGAACCCTCTGAGCCGCTTCACGGGGGCTCCCTCAAGCTCAGAGCAGGGACCACACCACGGAACACTCACCCAGGCGGGGAAATAGGCTTCGGGCTCGAAGTACTTCCCGTAGTGCTTGTTGCGCTTGAAGTCTCCCAGGTCGGCTTGGAGGGCGAAGGCGGTGAGGAGGAAATAGGCCTCTTCCCGCAGGACACACTGGGAATGCAGCACCTGCTTCCGCAGGTGCCAGTAGTAGTAGTAACGTGCGGTCCGGTCACTGCGGGAGCAGAGGAGAGAGGGAGGAGGGAGGAGCAGAGGGGAGAGGAGCCAGTTTTGTCATTGTCGCGTGGACTGTGCCTGCTCCCCACAAAAATGTCACCTTTGGGCACCTGCAGGTTTAAATCTCTCGGAGTCGTCTCTTCCGGGTTAGGGGGTACAGCAGGATTAGGGGATGTAGCACAGTTAGGGGGTAGAGCAGGGTTAGGGGGTACTGCAGGATTTGGAGGTGCAGCAGGGTTAGGGGGTACAGCAGGGTTAGGAGGTGCAGCAGGATTAGGGGGTACAGCAGAGTTAGGGGGTACAGCAGGGTCAGGAGATACAGCAGGATTAGGGGGTACTGCAGGATTAGGGGGTACAGCAGAGTTATGGGGTACAGCAGGGTCAGGGGATACATCAGGATTAGGGGGTACAGCAGGATTAGGGGGTACAGCAGAGTTATGGGGTACAGCAG